GGACTCCCACATGGTCAACTGCAGTTCAAGTCTTGGACCTGGTGGCTTGTTTTCTTACTTTCTCTCTCTGTGTCACTCTAAATAAGCAAGTAAATAAAGTTAAATAAAAATAATTAATAAAAAAAGAATGGGACTTTGTCAATAAAGGATACCTTTTTAAGTATCTGCTTTTTTTTTTTTTTTTTTTTTTGGGGGAATGCGTAGTTGCCAGAAGGAGAGAGAGAGAGAGAGAGAGGGAAGAAAACATGTCCCTATTGGGATAGTCATATCGCAATCCCTCCTCTCCCATCTCTCTCATTCCAGGATTTTAGTCATGCATATGCACGCATCTGATTTGTTTCTCTGGCTGTCAGGTCCAGGATTCAAACTGCAATTTGACCATGTGCAATCCATCTACCTTAACCACCAGGCCACACAGCCAGAATAGTACATGATTTTTACATCTTGCTTATCGGAAAGAATGATGCAAAAATTATTTAGGGGGCAGTTGTAATACAGCTACCTTCCTATTACATTGAGTTGTCAGGACGGTCATGACACATTTTTGCATAGAAAAACATAGAAAAATATGTCATGACTTTCTTGGCAACTTAATATTTGCTCTCTTGGCAGCTTAAAATTTGCATAAATTATTGCATTGTGATGATTTTGGAAGCAGCTTACAGTAGAGGAAGCATAGGGTTCAAAGGCAGGCTGATTCTGTTTCCTCTTGGTGCTGGGGTAGAGGGCAATGCACAGGCCTTGGGGAAGTCATTTTAGCTCACAAAACCTTAGAGAAAAATAGGGATAATAGTAATAGGTACCCTCTCTAGGGCACTTGTGAAAAGTGAGAGAAATTAAATATAATTACTTAAAATAGTTTTGGTACATAGGTTGGTCTTCCAGAAATCCTCAGCAAACCAGAGGCCAGTGGCCTGAGATATGTATGTACATGAAAATGTGATGCATTTGGAAAAGCAGGCTCATCAACTCTGTCTCTTCCTACTGTCTTGCACCTGGTACTTCACACATTTAAATTCACTGTTTGGCTTTGAAAACATTTGTGCTTGCCACTTCCTTTCAAAGGTGAATGATGAGAGATTCTTTTCTCACAAAACTCTTTTAAACTACATCTCCACGGAAACTATGGGGCTGTTAAGAATGGTTATATTTAAAAAGAATTACATGGGAAAGAACATCTCCCCCAATAGAATGAATTCCTGGGGTCAGGTAGTGGTTCAAGTGGACCCACGTGGAAAAAGTCCTAGGTCCATGTCCTAGAACCTCCCTGAGCATACTGGGCATGTGCATGCATTTATTGCTGTGATGCAGCCTGGTTGAGATGGTGGATGGAAGTGGGGGACATTGTAGGTGGTGCCTCTCTTTTCTCTCTCCCCTTCTATGTTTCTTTCACACAAATTAATAAATAAACATAAAACACACACACACACACACACACACAAACACACACACACACACACACAAATGTATTCCTAAGGTTGGACTACCTGGGATCAGAGGATTACCATTCTTTATTTGACTGGGCTTTTTGTTACCTACATCTAGAGACTATTAGTAGCAAGAAATTATTATTATTTTTTAAAGCAATGTAATACACTGTAAAGTTATATGTAATCCAATGTAATATAAAGAAGATTATGATGATAATAAAAAATAAAAAATAAAAAAATTTAAAAAAAGGCATAAATGGGACTGATACTAACCCACAGGACAGTTAGCTTGGGAAGGTAGAGAGAAGAATAAATAGGTAGATGGGTTCAAGTATTTTGATAACATTGCCTTTCTTTAAAAATCATTAGAATAAAAAATAAAATTTGGTCAGTCGGTTAGTAGTAAAAAAAAAAAAAGAAATCATTATTATTTTTTTAATGAGCAGCAAGAGAGAGCTGGAGGTCCTGAGCTCTACCTTCAAGTGACACATGATTACTTAAGCATGGACACAGTAGGTGAGAGTTGCAATGAAGGGAAAACAGTCAAATCACTGGCACCAAGAGAATAAAGAAATACAGAATGAGCAAAAGTTTAGGAAATGTACATGAAGATTTAATAGCCAGAAATCCTAGTTATTCCCTAACAGTGCTACAGAAGAGGTGTTCAATTTTATTTATTTCATGAATTGTCTCAGTTTGGGTTGTGGAGTGGAATGAAGAGGAGCAATATCTCCATGAACACTGTTCCTAAGCGGCTAAGCTTTGTTTTAGTACATATTCTAATCTCATTCATGCATTTAGGTGTTTACTTATTATAAAGACCTAAAAAGACATTCTTCCAACAAGATTTATTTCAGTTCCTTTTATATGCTCAATAGCTATGCAGATCATAAAAGAGAGCAGTGAACCAAACCAAACAGGAAATCCCAGTCCTGTGGATCTGTACAGATAGAGAGGAAGGCATATGATAACTAAATAAATCAGTAAAAGAAATTTGTGTCAGTTAACAGTAAGAACTGTGGGATAAATGGATGCAAGACATGGGAGAGGGTCTATGTGTAAATGGCAAGGTGAGGGAACACCGAGAAGATGACATTTGAATAACAGGCAGAGAGAAAAGAAAATGTAATGAAAAAGTAAGTCTGGCTTGCTTTAGAGGCCATTCAAGTCTAGGATGAGAGAGTAAGGTTGAGTGCCGCAGGATCAGGAAGAAGGTAAGAGATTGCATGAGGTTTGCAGGGCAGCACAAGGTCTTTTTACAACTGTAAGTAGACCAGGTACCTGTTCAGGAGTTTTAAGCAGAAAAGTGGCATGAGCTGATTTACAGGCAGGCCATTTAGGCTGCTGTATTGAACAAGGACTAAATGGGCCAAAGGCAGAGGCAAGATGACCTATCAGGAGACTAGTGTGATAATTCAGCAAGAGAATATGGTTGTATGGAATAGGAAGAGCCATGAAGATTATGAGTAGAGGTCACATGATGGGTCTGCTTTGAAGCTGGAGATGATAGGATTTATTCTTCAATCAAACACACTGGGTTAGCAAAAGAGATCTCAAAGGCAGCTCCAAGACCTGAGGATGGAGCAACTGTAGTAATGAATGTGGAAGACTGTGGAGAATATGGCTTGTTGGGGGAAGATTATGAACACAGTCTTAAAGGTAGTAAATTGTAACATTCCTTAAAGATTTAGATATAGGCAGGCGGAAATCAGAAGGTTAGGACGAGCTGGAGATATAAATTGGGACTTTTATGGCTATGAGTGATTTTCATTCATAAGGCTATATGAATCTACCTAGGAAGTGAAGGTAAAGTGAGAAAGGAAGACACTCCAAGGTTGGGGTGGGGTAGCAGAACCAGAAAAGGAACCTGAGATGAGGTTATTAAGTAAATATGCGATGAAATCAGAAGGGTGAAGCATGGTTGGTAGGTAATAGAAGCAGTATTATAGGGATGGAAGAGTAATAATTAGATAAAATGCTTCAAAAGACAGAGTTGACCCCTGGATTCAATAAGGTCAATTATAACTATTATGAGATCAGTTTTAATGGGGCTGTAGAGGCAACAGCATGATAAAATGGGCTCCCTAGAAACACAGAATAGCATCAATCCTATTAACAAGTAGTTAATTATATACAAAAGAAATGAAAAAGACAGGACCAGCAGGTGGTGTAGTGATTAAGGTGCTGGACACTTCCACGTGGTTGACCATGGTTCGAGTCCCAGACCTGGTGGTTTGCTTTCTCACTTTCCCTATCTCTCTTCCCGTTCAAATTGAAATAAATGAATGAATCCATAAAATTAAATAAATAATTCTTTAAATAAAAAGATGAGAATAGCACAATTTAAAGAATATATATAAATAGGGACCAGCAGTTAGCGTAATGGCTATGTTGCTGGACTCCCACATAGTTGACTGCGGTTCGAGTCCCGGACCCGGTGGCTTAAACTCACTCTGGGTGCGTGTGCGTGTGTGCCCAAGATCCTGAGAGGAGAATGGAGGAGAAGGGATTGTGGTGTGGCCATCCCTCCTGGGGGGTGATTTCTCGCTTTCTGTCTCTCTGTCTCTGTCTGTTGGGCGAGCACACGCACCCTATAGCAAAAACCTCTCAAAATATATATATATAAATAGAAAAAGAAAAAAGTCATAAAATAAAATTTATTTAAATACAAGTAATTTTTTTTAAAGAGAGATTTTTGTTAGGGTGCGTGTGCTTGCCAGAGACACAGAGAGAGACAGAGTCAGAAAGTGAGAAATCATCACTCCTCCCCCCCAGTCAAGTGGGATGGCCATGCCAAAATCCCTTCCCCTCCAGTCTCTACTTGGCATTGGGATTTTGGGCATGCATGCATATGTGCCCAGTGTGTTTTGAGCCTCTGGATCCAGGACTGGAACAGCCATTGACTACATGGGAGTTCAGCGATGTAACCATTATGCAATCTGCTGGTCCCAATACAAATAATTTTTTAAATTGTGAATAAAAAAGTTAAAAATTCTAAACTTTCACTTTAACTGGTAGGATGATTTGGCAATGTTATAAATAAAACATCTACTTATATCTTTTGTAGTAAATTTAAAGCACTCTCTTTTAAATAGATGAAGCAATGTTAACAAGAACTTAATGTATAGAAAAATAATCGTTTTACATATGTATGTATATTTATATTCACACATATACATTTACATTTATGGTATAAGAGAGGAGACTATTTGAAGTAATGTCTTTGAGCATCCCCATATGCTAATAGCATAGCAACTCATGATTCATACTCATATTCAGGACTATTTAAAATTTAAAGCTTAAAAACTTTAAAAATTGTTATAGACTTCTGAAAGTCTTTACTGCATCCAAGACTTGATTCCAAAAATTTATTTCTATACATATTGAAAGGGTTGGTGAAGCAAACTCTTTCTTTTGCCTAACTGAACAAGTCTTGTAACTAATATAATATATCCCAAATTATGGCCTTTTGAGAAGTAAAGATTATATGCCATTAGGGGAAATTACAGAAAGAGCATCTCAGAGGCAGCATTCAGAATGTAAAGACTGAAAGTGTTACGAACCACTTACCTCCCTAATGTCCCTTTGATATTTAGTGTTCATTTCTTCTGTTTTAATGAGATCTTTTCTTGCTGTCTCTGCTTCCTGTTCTACTTCTCCCACTCGGGAAGAAAGGGCTGCTAAACGTTCCTTCATTTGCGCCATTTCATAGTTTTGCTTTTCAAGTAATTCTTGTAGTTCGACTATTTGACTAGTTTCATCCGTTGAATCTATAGAACCATTGGACAAACGCTGCAGGAATAGAAACAGAAACAGCACTTAGAATTTTTCCTCATCTTTAATTTAAAATTCATGAACTTAAAGAAATAAAAGTGATAAAGCCTTCCAATTGAAATAAGAACTTCTGAAAAAGCAGTTTGGGAGGAAAACTAAGGTTCTGAGAAAATTGTTCCTTGACATTAAAATAGAAAGTAGAAAGCAGAAAGGTAGTTAACAGACGTGGGAGTTGGGAAAGGGGATGGTGTGAAGAAAGGGGAGACACTGGTCAAGGGGACAAAGTTTCAGTCAGGGTAAAGAATGAGTTTTTGTGACATATTGTACAGCATGGCAACCAGAGCTAATAATAATATACGGTATATTACTTTTTTAAAAAATTACTTATTTATTTATTAATTCATTTATTTTTTAATTTGACCAGAGTTAGACACAGAGATAGAGAGAGGGAAAGTGAGAAAGCAAGGACTTGAACTGTGGTCGGCTATGTGGAAGTGTCCAGAGCCTTAACCACCACACCACCTGCTGGTTCCAATATACTGTATATTTCAATACTGCTAAAAGAGTAGATTTTTAAGCATTTTCACTACAAAAAAAAGATCAGCAGGTGAGGTGATGGATATGTTAATTAGCTTTATTTAATCGTTCTACATTACATACACATATCAAATATCATAGGATACCCCACAAATATGTACGATTATTGCTTATCAATTTAAAAACTTTGAAAGGAACCGTGCAGAGGTTGGGCATGGATGGTAGACAGTAGGTGGTACAGGGTGGGAGGGGCAAAGGGAAGTCACATTTAACAGGCAAAAGAATGTAAAGTTCTCTGTTGAAAAAAATGTTCTGCAACTTTTGATATATCAAAACAAAACATTTTAGAAAGGAAGTAATTTGCACAAACTAGCTCCATTGGAGAGGTTTTGTGGTGAGCATGGTCCGGCTAGTGGAGAGAAACAACTGTAAAAAGAAGACAGCACAAGAACTTAGAGAGTATGGAGAAAAAGCAAAGAAAATTCAGCTAATCCTGCTACGATGCTTATTTAACAACATGAATTTGTTCCAACACATGATAGATTAGGAAACAATTTGGACATAATGTAGATGTTGAGTTTTCTGATGTGCAGTTTTATTCTCGAGAAACATTGGCAAAACATACAAGAGTGCTCACCTGGAAAAAAAAAAAGTGTGCATGGGGATATACATAAATTTTTATAGTTATATGTGTATTTGGCAAATCTTTCCTAGTGTGACTGAATGATGTTAATTTCCTAATTAGAGAAAATTATTATTCCAATTCTGTGCACCTGAGGTCCATTAATCTCTTGTTTAAACATTACATATTTGTAATGTGTTCGAGGTTAAAAAAAAAATGACCTAAATATAAGCAGTAATCACGCAAATAAAATACAGCACTTTAAAAATGTTAGCCTCTAATTTCTTTAAGCACCTTTTGTATACTGCATTGTCTTTTTGTGACTTTAGAATTTAGGACTATCTATGAAAATTGTTTCAAACTCTAAATTTTTCTTTCTTTGAAGTATTTATGAACATTTTATGTTTAAAATATATCATCTTTTACCTATTCAAATTAACTTAAATATATTTTATGGTGAGCTGAATATATGTTTTTATTATTTACAAATAGAAAGGCCAGATCAATACTATGATTTATATCTTATGAAAAAAAAAGTTTTTGTGGGTTATCCTGGTGCCTGGTGGTTGGTTAAAGCAGCTGGTTCCTACATGGCTCGTTGCACTTTGAGTCCTGGACCCAACAGCTTGAGAAACATTCCTGGTGTGTGGATGTGTGCCCAAAATCTCAACAGGAGAGACAAATGGAGGAAAAGGGGATTATGGTGTGACCATTCCTCACAGGGATGCTTTTATACTTTCCTTCTCTCTCTGTCTCTCTTTGCATGTACCATCTGGCTCAAAAACATGCACACACACACACACACACACAAACACACATAATACTTAATTTCAAATTGCTGTTATCTTGATTTATCTTCAAAATAGTGACACTATTTTTAAAGAGATATATTTGTTATAGGGCATGTGCACTTGCCAGAGAAACAGAGAGGGACAGAGAGACAGGAAGTGAGAAATCATCCGCGGGGGAAAAGGGGAGGGAAGACCATGCCACAATCCCTTCTCCATTTCTCCTCTCGGAATCTTGGGCATACACATATACACCCCTGACATGAGATTTAGGCAAATGGGCCTAGGACTCAAATTGGTTGAGTACACAGGAGTCCAACAATGTAACCATTATGATCAGCCATTCACTGGTCCCATTAGTTACACTTTAACTTAAATGATAAATAGCTAAATTAAAGAAAAAGTCAGTGTTGATCTTAAATAGCTTTTTTGAGATGTAATTTACATATTATAAGATTCATCTCTCTCTCTCTCTCTCTCTCTATTTTTTTTTTAAATCTGCTAGATGGTATATGCACTTGCCAGAGAGAAACAGAGAGAGAAAGGGAAGTGGGTAAGCATTCTCCTGAGGGGAGGATCATCCCTCAATCCCATCTCCATTTCTCCTCTTGGGATTTTGGGCACTCATGCACACGAGCCTATTGTTTTTTCATGCCACCAGGTTTAGAATTTGAACCACACTGTAGGCCATGTGGGATCCAGCCACCTTCACCAACAAGTCACTGATTGACCTTGCATTCTTTTTTTTTTTTTTTTTTTTTTTTTTGGGGAGACATGGGCCATCCCCAAA